TTGATAAGACCTGAAATTAAACAGAAAAATCTGCATGAATGAAAACCCCAGCTCAATGGACTAAGCTGCTCAGCCACAAAAACAGCTGCAGCAATAAAATGAAGGAACAAAACCAATTGCCCTGGTGATTCTAATATCTATCAGAGAGATTGTGATAGAAATTGTTTTTAAAAAATGAAGACAATATAAGAGAATAATAAGAATTAGGGAAAGGGAAAGAAACACTGGTAGTTCTAGTCAGCCCTCAGCTTTCTCAGCAAGAATAGATTTTGAGAGAAAGGAAAACGAGGAAGAAAAAACACTTTATTGCAGGGATAGGCACTCAACCAGCATCCCATCCTAGCCAAGCCATCACACACTCTCTGATGGATATAGTCTCTATGCTCAGTGAAATCAAGTGGATCTTAATCCTCACTTGGTTTGCACATACCTGAAAGCTTAGCTGCAGAAAATCATTAAATACAATGAGAAGTACTATACTGAATGTAGGGATTGTTTTCTGGACTTTCTCTGGCCATCAACTTTACTGGAAGATTTCTCCTTACTCTGAGGAGTTTCGTGCCAGGAAATTCCAGCTTCTATCTTTAAGGAATTAACATAGCACAATGGATCAATACAGCTTTTCTGCATATATATACCTCTGTTGCTGTGCAACTAATGCTGCTCTGAAACAAGGCAGTTCCCTCTGTATTGGGTAGATGTAAACCTCTTTGCTGATTAAAGCTACTGAATCCCTGGACCTCAGGAATGGAACTCAAGCCTGCATGCAGGTTCAGCAACTGGGCATTCTAGTTCACCATCCTGAAATCATCTATAAACACAGCCACCACGGCACCCAACGGCACAAGCAGCATCTCTCTCTCTTGTGCTGTAAGAGAGTGTTTGGGATATGGCTTGAGGTCCTTTTATTTAACACCAACCTCTTCAGAAAGTAAGAAGTCACTGGCATTATTCCATTGAAATAAATGGGAAGCCAGCAAGGAAATTGATCTGTCTGATGACAAATTTATGTCAAGCATTTTGATATTAATTCTCTTTTCAATTATTTTTTCTTGTGTTGTACACATTATTTTTCACACTTCCAGTTATATGGGAATTAAGGTATCTAATCATGTAAACTTCCACAGTAACTCTTGCACAGACAAACTCAGAGCTAACTAGAGCTAAAGCAAAAACGAAACACCATCTATAAACCACTACTTAAAGTCAGACATGGAAGGAGAGGAAATAAATGTATCCTAAAAAATACAATTTTCCCTATATGTATGCCTATGCCACTCCTAAAATGTCCATTTTAAAGATAACAAGAAGCATTACCTATAACAAAGTTAGTTTTTGAAGATGTTTGCCCATACTGTTGTTCAATATACTTTGGCTTATATGTCACCATGCCAATTAAAGAATTGAACTGAATGATACTTGCACACAAATACAGAATGTAAACTGGATTCCCAAAGAGGTTCCTCAGTGATGGAAAGAAGTCTGAAAGACAAAACAGCAGAAATGACAAGCAGGCCAGAGAGAGAATAACTGCTGTGTATAATGCTTTGTGACATGTTTGCCCCTTCAAAAAAATTAAAAAAAGGAACATTTCAGAAGGGACCCGTGAAGTTCCATGATGCTCCTAAGAGCTCCTCCATTTCTAGATGGGGGGACAATGGAGCAAAATACTAAGCATCAATTTCCCAGAAGAGAAATCTTGTTTAATATACTTTTTTCCCATCACAAACAGGATTTGGTTTCTCTGTGTCCTCAGCAGCCACAGCATCTTTTAGCTTAATTTGGGGCAGTGTGCTCAGCACAGCTGGCAGTAAGCACAGACAGATTGAGTTACAGATTCAAGTACTGAGGGAAAATGCTTTTGGCAAAGTAGGGCCAAGGGAATGCAGTTGTGCAAACCAGCTCCTGTCTAAATCCAGCCAGCCTCCTACAATACTGTAGCTAGTCTCTGCCCATCCTTATTCTGATCAGATATTGTACATATTTTTCTAATGAATGAACTTACAGACAAAAGTTTAGCAAAAACAGAGAATTTTTGACCACAGCTTCTGCAGCAGTCACTATCTGTGAATGAAAAGGTTGTGCTGAGTTTCATGCTATGTGCTTGGCCACTAGTGTAATTTTACACATCTCAGCTGAAGAAACTCTGCGTGGAATAGCAGGTCCAGGGAACAATGAACAGACTTTTTTGTGTGTACTAGCGAGATGCAGAGTGACACCTGAGGGAAAAATCACAATTCTGAGGCCATTAATATAGAGCCTCAGAAAGTATAACATTTTCAAACGTAAATGCCTTTGAGAGAAAAACTCAACAATCAGGAAAGAAACTCTAGTGATTTGCCTTTTGCCATCTCAGCAATCTTCGCTTGCTGCTGATAAGACTTGCATTGGTCCTTGTTCTCCTCAATGATGAACTTTGACTGCTCAGAAGAGGTACTGGAGTCCTTCCTGCTCTCTGGTTTTGGGAGGTGCTTTGGCAGGAACCAGAAGGGGATGCCAGCCAGAACACTGATCACTCCAGCTATCAGGTACCCCAGCCACCACGCTCCCACCCACTGCACGTCCTTGTGAGTTATTGTGATGCTGTCTGGAGAAAGACAGAAAAACAACAAAGAAACAAAGAAGCACTTTTTGATTATGTTTGCTAATACCCAGGAAGGTGGTCTTGGCAGGGAAGTTCTTGGGGAAGTCCATCCCCACCCCACCATGTGTCTTCATGGGTGTTACAGGAGCAGCTGTGAGGATGCAACAAGGACTCACTGGATCCTGTGGCACAGCAGCCTGTCCCATTTGCACACCCCCAGGGATGATGCAAGGCCCAGGGCTTGGGGCAGTCCAGGTGGCCACCCACTTGCTCTCAGTCAGCTGTTCTGCACACAAACATCAGGGAAAATTGGGGTGGAAGGTGTTTCTCAGGAGGAAGGCAATCAGGAGACCTGGTATCCACTGCCAAATCACTTTTCTAGGCTGCAACAGGATACTAAAAAATGCACATACAGTGCTCAGCACACACAGAATCCTGAGCCCCAGTCCTGCCTCCTCCTGTCTCCCCAGAGCCTCCTCACCAGGGTGTCTCTTGAAGGCACCTGCCACAGATCTGTGGGGCTGAGGAAGAGTCAGGCCTCCTACTTTCTCCACACCCATCCTTCTTGCCACCTTTTCAGCATGGAGCACTCCATTACTGTCATCCTGTTCATTTCATAAAGTACCCACACTACCCCTGCTAGCCCCTTATGCATAACTAGATAGCTCTTGGTCTAACACAGTCATTTGGGGGCCTGACTAAATTTTTAACCCTGAGTTCTCTGACTTACCCAGATCTACGAAGCCAATGTCAACATAAAGTTTAGCACACAGTGATCCCAGAAGAAAGCCAAATATTGGCCCTATTATTGCGACTGTCTGTACACAGCCTGTAATAGAAAATGGGACTGTTATGCTCCTGAATCAAAAAGAGCACTGATTCTTCTGCACCTAGCAGCAGAGTATGGCATGTGATGGGTATCAAGCAAAACAGTCTTAAAATACTGAGCCAACCTTTGCCCTTTGGCACATTAGTTGCACAAGTTAAAACATTTTCAAGGAAAAAGCCAACAGTAAAATTTCCCCCACTACATTGAGACCCTTTTTTTTCGTTGTCGTCCAATTAGAGAATTAAATTCAGCCCAAAGAAAAAAAGAGTTGGGGAACTTTATGGCCTAAACTCAATAGCAGCTCAAGCTATAATTGCTACTAACTCTTTAGTTGACTAGATTAAAGTACCTGGAATGCAAATGCTAATTATTCAAGTTGACTGATTGCTTTAACTTGAGGTGGTCCCTGAATTGGCTGAAAAATCACTTTGCTTTGGTATCCAATATCACCATGTTTTAATACACCCTCAGCCAAATTTTCTGAATATTTTGAATTTTCAAAATTCATCTGGGGAGTCTGAATCTCTCACAGAGAGAACCTGATGTTTTGCCTTTTGCCAGGCTGGAAGCTTGTCAAGAGCAGAGTCTGATGGGGAAGGATTTTTTTGTAATATTTCAGGTGAATGTGCAGAGGTTGGACAATGAACACAAGAAAACAGTGATACCAACTTTCTAAAGTCTCAGCACTATTGTTTATAATTCTACCTGAATCTTGAGGGAATGTTTTTGAGTGCCCACCAAAATTCTATTTTAAGTGCTTAAAAGAGTGCATGTTTTTATCACTCTCCAGAGAATTGAATGTGCACAGAGGCTCAGCAGTCCACATCCAGAAGAATTAGGAAGATTAGGGTAACAGCAGGAAACTAAGGTCAAATTCTTTCATCAAATTAAGATAATGGAACTGTGCTGGTATAATTAAAGGGGAACTAGGTCCCTTGAGAGTACAGGACTGTTAAATAAACTTTAATATTGGAAATTATGCAAACAAACAGTCAGGGCAAGTTAATTCAATAGCACTCGCTCCATTATTCAAAATTACTCAGTTTCCTCTGGGGAAAAATCCATCAGGAAAAGAAATAAATATTTACTTTACCAATATATAAGGCAGCATTCTCCTCCACAGCATAATCATCAATGTATGTAATTCCCAAAGGCTGGATAGGGGTTTCACCTATTCCACGCAAAAGATTTCCGAGTAAAACATAGATCCACATGGAAGAACCTGCTTCCTTTTCACATCCTGAGTACATCACAAGAGAGACAACAATGGTGTGTGTTTCATAACAGTTTGACATCGAGTACACAGGTTTTCTATAGTACTTCTAATGTGGGAAAAACAGTAGGAAAACTGTGAAAAATGTTTTGTGGGGAGGGTGATTTTAATCCAGTCATCTTAAAGTGGTCAAATGTTTAGCATGAACTGCCCCAAAGATACTAGAAGTTTGCTGGCTTTATAAATTTGCCACCACATCCCATTTTAGAAAGCTCTTTCAAATTCTCCTAACCAAAACTGGGATCTCCTAATGGAAAGATTTGGGAAACTGAGCACTATGAGGACTATCAGCCACATTTAATCCACAGGTATGAGGATGCAAACATACACATATTTTGTGCCATATTAGAGGGTTTGATCTGCTCATCCACAGCTTATTCACAGCTGAGCACCAGGGAGGAAGGTTTCTTGCTCCATGTACCCAGCAGAGAGACAGATTTGTGGTGTGCAAAATAGGGTCAAAAGGCAGGAAGAGAAACAATAAACAGCATGCAAAAAGTTGCTGAAGTCTCCTTCAGTAAGGCTGGAGGAAAGGCGGAAGCCTGGAAAAAACTCTTTGCAGTGGGCAGTTATATATTTATTTTTAATAAATTTGCCTCAGCCAGTAGACCTGTCTTTTCTGTGAGATGGATTCATCTGATTTCCATGTGTTTTACATTTTTTTGTGTTCTAATTAACTACTGCACGAGGGTTTGAGAGCCTTATGATGTACTTTAGGGGGCTTATCACATGTAACAGAGATCTTTCTCACCTGCATTTATTTTTCCTTGAGATTTTTCCAAGGCTGAGAGTGGAGTTTGGCTTTTATCCTGCAGACATGGAGAGATGCTGACAGTGGAATTGATGGTGGAAGGGAATCTTTCATACCGATACCTGTTTAGAAACCAAAGTTGCATTTACTTATAAGAACTGATAAGAAAAAACAGATTTGTTACTACCTGATAGGTCTATAGCACTTAAATGCAAGTTTCATCTGCATCCAGAATTGCAATGGTGGTTTACAGGGGATAAAGAGAACTCTGTTTACACTGCAGTTGGACATGAAAATTGTCTTGTAGGTTCTCTTTGTGCCACAGTGATGCATTTCAGTTTTATAGGCACTTTGCTCTGCTATGATACATGAATCTGGACTAGGAGGTTATCAGACAGTGGTGTATCCTCTATCTTGTAATTGGTGCTCGGATTTTCTTCCTGAGTTTAGTCAGCACTTCTTCCCTGAAGCTTCAACGATTCCTAAACTATGTCAAAATGTGGCCAGTCAAGATCACAGACTAATAAAGTGAGAACTTGTTTACAACTGAGAATAGTATGAATATCAAATTATTTGCTCTACAGTAACAGGTGTTTTCACAAAAAAAAAATAAATTAAGAAATGAGTATGCACATCCACATACACCTATTTCTCCAGGGAAAACCAATGCCTAAATATTTCAGTGAGCTGACAGCCAGTGTGCATAGCCCAGCTGGAACATACTGATCACTTTGCACTTACCGTCCCATGAAGAACTGGGGCATCGCAATTAGGAATGTTCCAGCTGACATAATTAAGCAGCCTGCTCCAATTATTCTTGGCCTGTGAAGCTTCGCTCCAAAGTAGCTTACAAGAACTATGATTAGGAGGTTCCCTTTGAGAGTACAAAAGGAAAACTGAGTTTTACTGCTCGTTGATAAAGGATCCCCTAAAATAACCATTCCTAGTATGTAGTATAGGCAGCAGTTTCAGGGAGAAAGGGCTGATGGCCTGGGGTTGGTGTTTCTGCCTCTTTCCAGGCATTCTACAGGAGCCCAATGCCTTCTGTGATAAGAAAACCATAAACTTTGGGATAAACAGCTGGAAAAGAGGAAGAAGACTGTGCCAGCTGAGGAGAGCAAATAACCAGAAAAGCAGAAAAAGGGGGAATTAAACAGAGTTTTTTGCACTTAGGCTAAGATTTCATTCCCGTGAGTACCACAGTCCACTGAACACCCACGAGATAAATTCAGTAATCTGAAATCATAAGAGACAATGTCACGCTGGAAACCTTAGTGCAAGAGGGAAGGAGATGGACTGGATAATAAATGTAGATTACAGTCAGAGGTTTGTACTCCTGCTGCTTAATAAATCACAAAGGGCAAACACTTGTGGGGGAGGTGGATTACTGACAAAAGCAGAGAGAAAGCAGAAACATGTGCAGGCAGATTCTCATTCAACAGTCAAAATTTCTATTAGCATTTATTATGCAGATACTAATCTTATCAAATTACAAAATATTTAGGACTATGCTGAATTTCTTGTATTAGCAACCCTATGCTATCCAATGGAGTCATACTGACAGTCCCACTGATTTTTACTAGGTGAATCTTGCTGGTTTAGTGGTTCAAGGAGATTCATACAATCATTCTTCACAACAAACTGTATCACTCTTTTTTTTTCTGTAAATAAAAATGGGTTGCTACAGCACATACCAATTTCAAAACTGCCATCAATAACGCCAACCAAAGAGGAAGGGATATCAAATCTTCTTTCTATTTGTGTGATAGTACTTTTTAGATAACTTCCTGACAGAGCTTTAGCAAAATAAACAAAAGACAATGCACCAAGAAATATCTGTGAAAAAAATTGACAGTGATTAAAATCAGGCAGTACAGAAGACTTCATGAATTATTTTAAAACGATTTTTATATTCCCATTTCTTCTTTCCCCAAATAACCACATCAATGTTTCTCTTAATTTTATTAAAAGCTACATTGCTGATTTGTCCATTTCTTATGAGCAATATTGATAGAAACTGAACTTGTTATCAACCACCGCTACTTTCAGGTAGATGCCAAAGCTACTGCTGCTTTGAAAGACAGAGACACAGATCACACTTGTTATCTTCTAGGAGAGAAGGGAGGTGACTTATTTGAGTATTTTTAAACACAGGTTTTTGCAACTGTCTGGATTTGAGAGTCCTGCAAGCTGTCCCGACTGAAGCCCAGGGTGACCAGGAAGAACTCTGCTTTCCATTCCATAGCTCCAGGAGATGAACAGTGACCTGCCACACAATTATCTTCTAGGCTTATCCTTTCCTCACCAGATCTCTGGCAAGCTCTAATACACATATTTTCTTTTGAGTGCACCCTGCATTTTGCTGGGGACAGCATTCTCCCATCCTTTTTTTTTTTGCAGAGACAGCTATTTTCTCTTAGTTGCCACTCTAACTGTTTTAGTGTGTTACTCTGAGTCAGGAGAGGGCTTTGGAAGTTAAACTCCTGCCCCCTTCACTGTGCTTTGGTACATACTGCAAATGTGCAGACTGAACCACTCTCACACAAAATTAAACTGGAAGATGTATTCCAGGCAGGCATTACATTCACTTCAACAGCCAATGACTCTTCAGTCTCTGGGACAAGATGAGGGCTGGTCTGAAGGATCTCCCCACTCTGAAACATGTATAGTGGGACTACAGCATCCTTAGCACCCACTGCTTTGCTCCTGCAGAGCTGTTGCCTAAACTTGCCTTCAGTGAATGCAGTCCAATTGAGTTTATGAGCTCCAGGGACACTCACACACACCGTGCAATGGCTCATGCAAACCACAACGTTGCTTTCTGCCTTCAGATACAGGTTGAGTTGACTGAATAGGAATATGGATGCTCTTTGTAAAAGGTGTTAAAAAATCCCAAAGAAGTCTATCCCAGAAATTAAAAGAAACAGTAATGAACAGTGGTCTAGACCCTTGTCCTGCTCTTTAATCCTCTCTGATAAATCATGCTTACAGTGAGCAGGTGCTCTGAAGCAATGTACTCACCTCCAGTGCAAAACTCCTTACAGCATCTCATTTGACAAGGCACAGTGGTAATAACACTGGCATTGCTGCTGCATGCAAATACTTGTGTCAAGGTTCCAAAATATATCTATGTATGTTCAACACACTTTATCCAGTGCAGGCTAGTCCTCCTTCAGAAACAGTTGTTGGAAAATAAACATATACCACCACTCTCCGTTTTTTATTTCCTACCGTGAGGTCTCACAAAGAGCTCTCTAGTAAACATATTGCCATATTTTACATTTCTCATGCCTTTATGCCTTTAGATTTTAACTAGCAATGTGAAAACACTTTTTTTTTCTACAGGAAAGTAACGTTGGTAAACTAGAACTTGAAATGCTTTTGTCTCTCTTTGGCACAAGTTTTTCTACCAGGTTT